CGGTCAAGGGGTCAGTGGACTTAGTGAGCCTTGGTCAATTAGTGGAGTCTTGTATTTAAAGCAAACATGGTGCATCAGCATTTAGCGGTTACGCTGCACACAAATGGAATAAACTGCCAAAAGGACTGATGTTGGCCCCAAGTTTAAGTTTTTTGAAATCCAGGTTAAAAACGATGCGCTTTTTTTTCGTAGCTATGATTAAGGTCTTTTTGAGGAACTCTCTTATCTTTTTTTTTTTTCCCCCAAATCATGTTCTTGTACTGTATGTTCTCTTAATAGTTTTACCAAGGTACTTTTTATTTTTCTCCTAAGTCTTCTGTTTTTTTTAATGCCTTATTTATTGCCTTTCAATGCTCTTTTGTAACTATGTGAATCACGCAGTTACCTTGTGTATGAAATGCGCGGTATAAATAAAGCCGCTTTGCCTTGGCAAGATAGTTCAAAGGAAAATGAACCTGGAGAAATTAACCTGAGTACTTCTGTCAGACGGCAAAAACAGCACAAATCAATCATCACGGCACACTTTTTTTTAAATTGACATTATATTCCTGAATTTTGTTGCCACTGAAATTTTCAGATTTTTTTTTTCGTGGTGCGATTAACACGTTTTTGAGAACGCAAACTTGAGATACGAGCGCCGTGCAGCAGCAGTGAATTCAACTCGCTTCACAACGAGCAGCAGTTTGGCACGCCGCAAACAAATAAATCTTCAAAAAACGAGGCATCAAGCTTTTTAATGCAACTCCCAGTTGAAGCTTACTGTCAATCTACACATTAAACAAAGAGAATGACACATCTATTTAAAACAACCCCGTGCCTGAGGAATGTCCCGCTATCTTAACACCCCCCCCCTCACATAATGACGTAAAAACACCTCTGAGCAACGAACGATGAGCATCGACAGTTGGTAATGACGATCCTATAAGCCACTGATAATTTAACACAAACGGTGGAGCAACACATGCAGACAGACAATATGACAATACTCGCAGGTTATCTATTTTGATTATCTGTAAAAAAAACGGCTACATTAACACCCCGCCGCAGCGGGGGTTTTGTTCCAAACCACGTGATATGTGAAATGCGAAATTGGAAAACCATATTTGAAAAAAAAAAAAATACCGCCAGGAATGTTTTTATAACATTACTATGAATTTACATTGACAAACGGTTTTGACACTTAACTCCACCCTCCTGGCTTGTCATCAATCGGCTTATTGCTCCAACGTCCAACGCAGTTCAATAGGGATCGATTTATGTCACAATTCGGTAAAACATTCTCCAAAAAAAAAAAAAAAAACGGGAAAAAATCAGGAGGGTTGCCGAGTTTGTAGTTGAGATAGAATTGGATTATTCAAGTGGATTATTAAAATTAATAAACCCAGTGCCTTTGATCTTGCTGATCCGCACAGATTAATACAGCTAAAAACGAGGATGGGATTTAAAAATGTATAACAAGGCCAAACACTGAAAACGATGACTTATCATTGCTTTTGAAAAAGAGATTTCTTATCAACATACGTCGAATACCGGCATGTTTACGTGCATGCAATGCTCATATTTTCAAGTGAACATTCTTGACAAAAATCATCTCTGAGGGGATTTGCGGTGAGAGGGGGAGGGGTGAGATTAAAACTGCCAAATGCGAATCAAAAGCGGCTTTTTGCTGCTCCTTTTTTTTTCCCCCCGCTGCGCGTTATAAGAAGATTACAACACGACATGCGACTGATGGGATAAATGCTCATCTCACACAGGCAAGCACGTCCGCACACACGCGCGCGCGCATGCACGCACGGACACCATCTTTTGAAATACAAAACTGCCAGAGGCGTTGAATGCCATCATTTTTATCCAAGATGAGACTGAGGGCAACAAGAAAAAAGGCGAGCTGCAACACGTGACTGTGGAGGGTAATACTGCACCAGACACACGCAAACTTCCTTTGCCCTGCACACACCGACACCGTACACACACGATTCTTCCGTCTTTTGAATTGAAAGCTGTCAACTCACAGCGCGCCGACCGCGTCGTTCGCAACGATGGGACGTGCTGCATTTACCAATTGCTTTTTAAGAGGAGACTGAGGGCAGCAAGAAAAACGAAAGATTGATTTCTTTTTGATTTTAATCCGTCCGTCAGCCTATAAAGAGTTCAATTTAAAACGGTTCACTTCAGCAAACTGTTCCAATTAAATTTGTGGTTGAATTTATAAAGTGATGCTGCTGATTCTGGGGGGGCTCTGCAAAATTGGTTTTGTTTGAAATTAAAACAAAGTTGAGTGACAGTTGAACATTTAAAGTGATTTTGAAAATGATGTCACGGGAAGCTATTTGCTTGTTTCAGTTTTTATTTCACTTTTAAAGACATGCTAATGATCCTCAGAGCTCCAAAACTTTTCGTAAATTTTAGAACAACATGGTCGATTAAGATGAAAAAAAAAAGAACGAAAATCAATCAACAGTTGCTTGAAAACATTTCAATAAAGTTACGTTTTTTTGTTTTTTTTTTAAATTCCACACCAACATTTCACTGAAAATGAACATTGACTCGAAATGTCATTTAAATTGGTCCTGAAAACCTGGACTCACCCCCCCCCGCCACTCACACATTTTGAATATGCTTCTATTTATATTTCATATTTATATTTATTTGGATAGTTTTTGTCTTCTACTTTGTCCATGTCATAATTTTGCTGCTGTAAATTGGGAATTTCTCCATTGTGAGACAAATAAAAGGTTTTCTTGTCTTATCTTATATCAGTTCTCGGCCTCCTTGACAATGAAATGATCAGCATCGGTACTGGCTCCGAAAAACAAAAAGTGGGTTTATGTCCGTTTTTCCATATCTCTTTGTTTCTTTTTCTCCACGAAGTGAATCTGACATGAGGATGAAAATATTTCATTTTTCATCATTTTTCATTTTTCATCAAGGATCGCATCGCAATTGATCTGGAATTATGCCGTGGCCTCAAACTGCCACCTTTCAATTACTTGAATCACCTTCTACCTTCACTGAACGTAAAAAAAAAAAAAAAAAAATTGAGCGTTCCTATATCGAGTTCATGCACCGTCTGACGGAAGAATCCCAAGGTGTATTTTCGGCTCTACTCCTGCCCTGCGAGGTAACGATGAGCAAAAGCTTATCAGCTCCGCCTGCCAGCACCTTCTTTCTTTTGATCAGGTAATATATCCCCTCCGCCGTTCTTTCATCCTCCCGCCTCCGTCACGTATTCCCACTTTTCACCGCCACGGCCAGGATAATGAAGCCTGTCGGGGGACGCCCGCTGGCCTTCCGCACCGCCCTCGCGCCTTTTGCCGCGCAATTAAACGAAGTTAAGTCCTGCTGGGAAATAGGTTGGCCTTGTCAAGCTACAAGACTTTTTTTTTTATCGTTCGGTCATGTTGTTCAAACAACCAGATAAGTGCCGCGCTGTGGACCGGGCGAGACGTCACACAGTACAAGGCCGTCACCGACCAAACCCGGCTGAATCGCTGCGCGTTTCCGTCAAGATTCGGTCCACCGGGGCAGGTCGCTGTTTGAATATTTATTTTATATTTATAAACTAGTGCTGTTTTCATTTTTGGAAAAAACAAATGTAACCAAATATTGTGGTGGTTTTGGGGGAGCTGAAATAGCAATAAAAATAATCACTATCATGTCATCGCCAAAAGGTAAGCAGAGCTGCATTTTGTTAGATGAGGAGATTCGTGTTAGCTAACAGCGTTAGCTTCTGCTAAAAAGCACTTACACTTGATTGCTTGGACAAGTTGCTTACGTCAGTCACTCCCGACCAGTGTAGCGTGCACCTTAGTGTGTGCGCCGTCGGAAAATTATCAATCCAGACATCCATTTTCGCTTATCCTGTTCAAGGTCGCGGGTGAGCTGGAGCCTATCGGAAAGGGCTAATGGCAACCTGGAGTGGTTGCTAGGCAGAGACAGACAACCATTCCCCTCACACAATGACGCAATGTCACACACACTCAGTCAGACAAAAGCACTGCGCCGTCGGTGAGTTGGGGAAAGTATCCAACTTTACTTGATCGATTCAGAAATTATTTTATCTTTGTTCGTCTATCTGTGCCGGTGACATATAGTGACAAGCTGAACAATGAAATGCTCTTCAGTTAGGTGGAAGAATTAAACTGCATAGGTGTTCGTATCACCAATTCAAATGATTTTTTATCTTATTATTTCGTTAGTTTTGAAAGGCTCAGATGTGGGAGCGACCAACAACAATGCTACTGATTTGAAATAACTTTTTTAAAGACGTACCTGAAGCCATAGCTCAAATAGATCTGCGTCATCTTCCTGGCAGACATAAAGTTGTTCATTTTGAAACAATTAAAATAGGGCTGGCCAGATTCCTATGAATCAAGTTGAGAAATATTTTATGTCAAAACAAGAATCCGACTGACTTGCAAAAAAACGCAAGGGTGGCAAAAAATGTTCAATATGACTGCATAAGTATATGGGGTACATCTGTGCAGTTTGAATGGATTTTATGTGCACAATTTCTCGGTGTTCTCTCCCAAGAACGACAAATCCCATTTTGGCCATTCAGTGGACATGCCTTCACCATTTCAGAGCAGAGACAAGGGCTTGAGTTTAATTTTTTTTTTTTCATCTTATTTTATGTACGACATTTTGTTAAATCATCCAAATGTGACAGATTCTCTCTTTATGTGCTGTGGCAAATTTACAAGACATTTATCGTTGCTTGACAGGGTCTCTAAATTTCAAGAAAAGGAGAAAAAGCAACTTACTCGCAAACAAACTTTAAAGTTCAGCGAACTGATAGCTGGTCAAACATGAACCAGCACCTGATACAAGCGCCTTTACAAGACTTAAAACTTACTGATTTACTCCCACTTCTGGTGGAAACACCTGGTAAAAACATGGCTGGTAACACGTGATGGTATTTGGCGCAAAATTGGCCCCAACACACACACACACACACACACACACACACACACACACGCACAGAGTCGGCAGTAACTCACGGCAATCCCCGCAACGCGCCGGTAAAAGCCGAGTAATGATGCTTGGCTGTCAATCAAGATGCGGATGAGGATGCTCTCGGGCGGTCCTGACGGTGCGGCGGCATGTCAGCTCTCACCCGACGAACAGGAGAAGCGCAGGAAAGCGCGATGAATCTTTTCCTCTGCGCCGACGTGGAGGCTGAAGAAGTGAGCGCAAGTCAGATGGAAGTTGGCGGAAGAGGAGGGGCGTCGATAAAAGGGGTGGTCTCACCTGAAATGATGTCCGTGACTCACGACGGGCAAGAGGAAGATGAGGAGGAGGAGGAGGAGGAGGGTGGGCGAAGGGGAAAGTGAAGCTCTCCTGTCTGGCTGCGCTGCAGCTACATCTGCTCGTCCTAATCATCTTCCTCCCTCTCTCTCTCTCTCTCTCTCTCTCTCTCTCTCTCTCTCTCATGGTGTCACAAACACAGTGTGTCTGCACCAAATGCCTCATTGGCTCATCTCCTGCTGTTTATATGTGTGTGTGTGTGTGTGTGTGTGTGTGTGTGTGTGTGTGTGTGTGTGTGTGTGTGTGTGTGCGCGCGTGCGTGTTGCATCACACAGCAGCTGTGCATCCACAATGACTTAGCATGACACCTCCCCTCCATCTTGCCCCTCAACGTTCCTCCAATTCAGAAACAGATCCGTTACTTTGTTTCGTCGTTTGCCAAAATACATTTTAAATGACTTTCAGTACGTTAGCGGCGCCAATCGTAATGTAGATGTAGATATACATTTTGGCATTGACTCCCAGGCTGGCGGCACCGCTGGTCGACTGGTTAGCACGTTTGCCTAAAAGCGTAGAGGTGCAGAGTTCGATTCCGGCTGTGTGGAGTTTCCTCGTGTCGGCATGGCTTTTCTCCGGGTGTTCCCTGTGTGTATCAAAACTGGATGTAATTTAGTCATCCACGTCCACATCCCATCCAGGACTCAGTTTTGGCCGCTGGTATGTTAGAAATAATTCGTTCCTGACACCAGGGTCACCGATCACCACTAAATTGGCCGGATGTGTTCACAATAGGAGCCGTGAAAAAGTCTCAAGGACCCATGCCAGCAATTGAAAAGGAAGTCAGCTGTTTTGGTTGTAAGTAGCCATTGAGCACTCAGCCAGATCACCTTGGAAGGAAAAAGGGAAAAAAAAAAAAGCCCCAGACACAAGTTTCATTGCCGGACACAAAATGGATTGGATGTGTTGTCATAACGACAAAGTCTCAAGGACCCGTTGCGGAAACTGGACAGGAGGAGCGGTCATTTTGGTTTGAAGCAGACATTTTGCTCTCCGTTGCAACTCCTGTAAAGTAAGAAAAAAAAAAAAACAGCCCCAGATGCCAGTTTCACTGATCAAAATGAAACTGGGTGGACGTGTCTCGCATAACAGAACGCACGAAAACGTCTCAAGGACCCGCCCTCGAAACTTCACAGGAAAGTGGCTGAGTTTTCCTTTGAAATGGTCGTTCGGAATGAATCTCGGCGCTAACCCACAGAGAATTTGCCCAAATGGGCCTAAATTGGGAAAGCAGGTATCCAAGACAGATAGGCCACGCTAAATTGGGAAGCTTTTGACCTCTGCCATCTATGAGCGGCGCATGACAACACATTTTGACCATTTCAAGGATTGATGATGAAAAAGTGGGCGTGAGGGACCGTTGCCAGGTTGTACTCATTGCAAAACCATTTTTTTCCCCCTTCCTATAAGTTTGATGTAATCGCTTGTTCTCTGTTTACTCGCTATCACGATGTTTGAAGTCACATTGTAACATTTTAAGTGCGGAAATGAGTTTCACATTCTGCAACGGATCGAAAATGAAGTAAAACGCCATCACCGATGAAAACATGGCATAGAGCGGGAACAAACAGTACGGTGCCTGCGGTGTCTGCCCCCCCCCGAGCCTTGTCGTCGCTGTCCTGAATCAGTAGGAAATTGCTTGATTAAAAAAAAAAAAAAGCACTTTGCAAAGTGCGAATTTTTCCTGGCGGAGACGTGTCTCTTAATAAGCGCGACGGGTGACAGACGGCATGCAAGCGCGCGGCGCTGATGAAGACGACAGCAAGCCCGCGCAAGCACAAGCGGCTTCGCGTTGGGATCGTGACGGCTGGCGCGGCGGTGAACAAGAGGAACAAGCGTCAGCGGCGCAGAGTGTGAAAGGAGTGAATGTAAACTAAATAGAAAATGGAACGTTGCTACCTCGTGCCTTTATGACATCAACAAGCACAAACAGCGGCGAGAAAGGCTTGATTGAACAGCAAACATGGAAGTTGCCATGGATCAAACTAATTACAATTGGAACAGTGACTTACGATCAATTTTTTTTTTTTTTACTGTAAGGTAAGGCTGGATGGTATAAGACTAAAACCTCAGATTTTTTTTCTTCATTTGCAAAATTAAAATTTCAATTCCAAACATTTGTACCTTGTATTCATCATGATGGACAAAAATGGCAGCTGTGGTGGTCTTCGCAAACGACTCGAGGGGTGACCTGAGGTTTTTTTTTCTTTTTTAAAATTCCGCCAATGCGAGCGGTTAATATTTCATAGGTGTTAATCTGGAAGTTTGCATGCGGACGCACCACGCCGCCGCCACCACCGCCGCTCACTTGCATGCTAAGCAGGCAAGGCCTGGCGGCAGGACAGCGCGAGGTCACACCCTCTCAAATTCAAGTCATGACATTCCTTCACTTAGCTTGGCTCATACCAAGTATCAGCACCCACATTTTTTTTTCACCAATGTCAACTTTCAACTCCCGGTGTCCCAGTGTACTGATTGGTGGTTAGCATGCTTGCTTCTAGAATACGAGAAGAAAAAAAGCTTAGCAAAGGAGCCGCATTGTTGTTTGAATGGTTGATCTGTTTTGGAGACCGCAAATGACCCTTTGCTTAAATTCTCATCCGATTCAACACGAGTGCGTGACAAAGCACCTCGACGGCCTCTTGCCCGCTAATCAACGAGAGAGGAAACCACTTGTCATTATTGTCAGCAGACTCAAAAGAGTGACGGAAAATTGCAGAATGCTGAGAGGAGGGCGTTCGTGTATGGGTGCTCATTTGCATATGAATGACACTGATTGTTTGTGCTTTTCTTGCTGTTTAGTCGCCATGACGGCCGCTTGTATATCACTTGTGCCGACAATAAAATTGAATCGGAATAATATAAAGCAAATTTCCAAATTATAGGACTAATAAAAGTTTTCTTATGAAACAATGTTACTGATCATTTTTGTCAAGTCAAAAGGGGAGCTTAAAACCAAATCAGAAGGACTCTGCTCTGGTGGTACCTCGAATGTCTTCAAAGTAAAATTTTGCTCTACCAAAAAAAAAAAAAAAAAAAAAACCACAGTAAAAACAAATAGTGGAAAGAATTACGGTAATCAGCTTGGCCACCGGGGGCAGTAATACAGTCTGACAGACAGAGACAAAGCAAAGGGGAAAAAAAAATACCGTATTGGCCCGAATATAAGACGGTGTATTTTGCATTGAAATAAGACTGAAAAAATGGGGGTGGTCTTATATTCACGAGAGGTGACTTGCGTCGCAACGTGCCGATGTTTTCCAAAAAGCTTGGCATGTGAACTTCGGTGCAATCAAACAAGTCAATTGATGCTCGGCGAAGGAGGAGCTGAAAGTCCAGCAGCATTTCCAGGAATGGGGACGCCCGCCATTTTGATTTCCATTCAAATGAGACGTTTAAAAAGGGGGAAATTGGATTTCTTTCATTTCACACAGAATTGCTCCGCCGGCAGATTTTGTCAAATGCTTCTGTTAATAGCCAACGCATGGTTGCGACATTTTTTATTTTATTTTATTTTTGCGTAACCTTCAAACAAGCCCCGCTCCATTCAAGGCCTTTAAAACCTTTTTTTTTTTTTTTTTTCAAATGGCACAGGCAAAGTTGCAGCTTAGACTGACACCACACAAAACCTTCTCAAATGGGAGCACACCAGCTTCAAAACACCACGCGTCGCTCACCATCAGAGCCCAAGCTAAATCCTGTAAATCCTCATTCACACCAGCTTTGAGGCCGATAAGCGCAAACCGCGCCGCCGCAACGCCTCGCAGAGCTTCGAAAAAACACGGCAAAAATAAGCCGTTTGTTCATTTGATGTATAAGATGACAATTCAGGCAAAATTGATGGTAAACTACCCATTTTTTTGAAAATAATATATATTTTGAAAATAATATGCTTTGTCTACACTTGGGGTGACTCCATACAATGGACATGTCTTTATTTTCTAGAAGTGAACATTCTCTGTCCATTAATCAACATGCTGCACTATGTGTAGCTCGGGCACCCGAACGCAATTTCATTAAGCCAGTGCATATATTCCATATCGGAAAATTCAAACAACACGTCACCTCCCAAAACAACAACAACAACAACAAAAAGTATACAATGGTGCCTTGCGAAACACATTCAAATTCATTCTGTGACTGCACATAATTGCTCATATGTCAAATCATCTTTCCCCATTGAACTTAATGCAAATGCCATTATTCCGTTCCGGCCTTCCCAAATAAAGTTAGATTTCTCCATAACACTGTCCTTCATAGCAACATAGTTGTTACGTAATTTTCTAGAATGTAAACAATTCAACAGTTTATGCATCATGACTAAGGTAATTCATTATGATCGCGCAGCTCCTTCTGGTGCATGCGCCTCGGCCACCCGGGGGTAGTACATTGAAACATTGAATTCAAAAAATACATATTAAGACTTCCTTTGGCAACTTTATTATTTTTTTAAATATACCCTTTCAACATATTTGCATTCCATTCTTTTGTCATCTGTAATGTGATGGCGGCACGGCTAAATATCAACCAAGCTTTTAATGGCATTGAGCACAAGATGACTAAATCTGAGCGGTGTTGGATGGAGTGGGGATCTCTGTGTGAAAGAGGCTTCATAAAAGATCATTGGCAGGTTTGCAGTGGTCATTTCAAAACATTGTTGAGCAACAAATAAATTAACATGGTCATGTTTGTCCAAGCTCCTTCCGTTATTCTTGAGTCAATGTCCCAAAATGGAAGAGTAGGAAGCCCGTGGAGAGAAAATCTATCAGGTCCGCACTGGGTGTATCAGGTGCGTGATTTCTCCGAGATTATACGGCTTTTAAATCCCTTAAATTCCAGTTTCTCAGGAACGTGAGGCATCCAGATTTCATTCTCATTCATGTCTCGTACTTCCAAGATTAAGTTTCGGGAGAATCAAATTCTCCCAGATGGAAGTTCCATATACAAATCAAAAAAAGGAAAAGACAGAAGCGACCTTCACCTCAGATTTCAGGGCTCCCTAGCGAGTGGCTTACTTGGTGCCCGAGTCTGCATCGGGCCGCATGCTGAAGGGCTCCAGGCGCTCGCTCTCCGGCAGCATGTTGTTGAGGCGCTCCATCAGCGGCACCGTCTGGTCGATGCCCATCTGGATGCGACGTAGGATCATAGACATCTCGTTGACCTTCTGGATCTGCTCCGCGTACTTGGCGTAGCGCTTCTGGCGCTCTTGCATGATGCTGAACAGGGTCTCCACCGAGAGGTCCATCTGGAGTACAACCGCAATTTAGAACAAGCGGAGATATGCGAGCATGTTAAAGCACGACACCGCACTCTACATACGCAGTGACACAAATGGTGGCTGAAAGTATTAACTGGCGCGAGCTAAGTATGTCGAAGTTCAGCCTGGTTTGTTCGTAGAAGTGTCTTTACCACAAGTGCATGTACATGCACACTTCCGCATGTCAGTGGGTATCAATGATCTGCACAGTTCTGCTATTTGCTGCCCGGGCAAGTCCTTATGCCCTGTAAATAGCGGTTTGATATCGGAAAAGTGCCGCACAAATAAAAGTGTCATCGATTGAGCAATATTATGAAGACGTTACATCTTGATGTGCGCATCCTATTTAGGATTTTGTAGTTCGACTATGCCGGTGCAGCTCACCTCTTTGATGCGCTTGACTAAGGCGTTCTGGTCAAAGGAGACGGCCTCGGCGCACTGGTGCAGGTGGTCCTGGTAGCGGGTGCACAGCTGGAGCACCTGCGCGGAATCCAGTCTCTCCAGACACACGCTGCTGGGGGACGTCTGACCGCTCAGCACCCCTGTCGAGGAAACAAGGAATGTGTCAAAACAACAAAATCAGGGTCAACTCGTGTAATTAATTGACGTATGGCTCATGCTGCTATACAAGCATGGAGCTGGCACATGGAGCTACTCTGGTGGTCGTTGTTGGCAAAACTGATCATCTTCTCATGTTTTGTGAACTTAAGTATTGGAACGGGCAACAAGGGTTGCTCTACAAGCCTGAATCTTCAAAAGGCAGACAATAAATAAAGATGCATTGTACCTTTCAAGAGGGGCTGGAAGGTTGGGATCTCTTGGAGTTTAATGACATCAGGGTCACTGTGGATGTTCCTCATGGACTGCGTCCCCTGAGTCACCACCACAATGTCATCCATCTTCGCTTTCTGCTTGGCGGGAGAGGGAACCACTGCAAAGACAAGTGTTCCATTTATTACCCACCAATACACAATTTAAGTCACATTTGAAGTGGCATTGAAATGGACGGGCGGCGACCCTGGTTATAAGAGTTTTGAAGTAGTCATTATAGTTGGGTTTTATTTCGTTTGGGCTTTTCCTCCAGTTAATTTTAATACATTTGAGTGCAAGTTCATTCGAGTATGGTTTGTTTTAGTTTCCATACAATTTCATCTTTTACCATCATTCCACAACTGTCCAAATGAATAATAAAACGGTTTAGATACACAGTCAAAATTATTATTCAGTCAGAAATACTTTCGGCCACTCACAGGCTATGCAATAAAGGGAGAACTATAGGAATTGAACTCACTCTGTCTGTATAGAAGGCAGGCGAGTGAATCACTTAAGGTTTAAGCAATATATAAAATTTGTTTCAACAGTTTTCATTTCTTGAATATGCCACGTCAACATTTCAACGTAATTGTGAGCTAGGGAGATGAACAAAATAACATAGGACAAAGGAAAGAGAAAATGTGAAGAGAACGAAAGAGGTCGTGACAAAACGAGAGGAAAGGTCTAATCTTGACTAGTGAACGTCAAGATTTGCACTCTGGAGCAATAGAGAAATGGATCATGGGAGCAAGGGCAAAACAATGGCAATACAAACATCATCTTACTAATAAGGAGCGTGAAAAAGAACCGAAAAACATGCTCACCTGTGGAACTGTAGTCGGAGTGTTTGTGTTCCGCATCTCCGCTCTGCTCGGCGCCCATGATTCAAATCAACCAGCTAACGTTATTGGTCAATCGGGGTAACCCCGCAAATGTTCGACAAACGAAACACCACCGACTGATTAAACGAAACCGTGCAACACCTTCTCAACTACATGAATATCGTTGCCTGACTGACAAGTTCCGCAGGCAATGAAACTCAAACTAGCTGTTTGCTAGTAATTACTAACGAAGCTAGGCGGTTACTATCTGATCTACCCGACATTTGCTGGCAATATACAACCTTGCGCACATTCCGGCTGTGGGTAACTTCTTGTTTAGGTAACAATTTAGCTTAGAGCGATCTTTAGCGTGACATTTGAAGGTGGAAGCCATTTGAAGCTGAAAGACGCCACTTCCGTAAATATTGGTCACGTGGTGGATGACGCAAGGAGCGGTAAATTGACAACAGGTCAGACAACATAGTGGTTAAACAAATTATTTATTGACTGTAAAGGAACAGAAACGTAATAATTAGCACTGGGTACAAACTGCACAACGTTACAAAGATCTGAGACCTTTTTGTGTTAAGTGGTCAACCGGCTGAGAAGGCCGCTTACGCCCCCGTGAGGCCAACTGAAGCTAAAACACACAGTGGAAACGGGCGAATTTTTTCAAACAGGTGAATTCGTTAATTTTAAGTACCAATAGCTCAAGTAGACTGAAGTCATTAAAACACACTGAAGCTCGCAGCACATTAACACACATTTCCTAGAGAACACATTTGGAATATGAAACCCTTCTGTTTCTAAAACAGGGACAGTTAAACACCAAACTTGCAAGGAAATCTAACGGAGGAGGAACTTTCTTTTTCAGCGAAAAACACTTCAATGAAACAGTGAAACCAATGAATGTGATGTAGAGCTATTTTGCAAGCTGTTCTCCCTGGCCCTGGTCCTCGTAGGTGTTCCATTGTCGTCCTCCAGAATAGGGAACGCACGCAGGTCCAACGTCAGGATATGACTAAACATACAGCCATCAAACTGGGGGAAAAACAAAACAAAAAAACATGGCATCTTGATCCTAATAAACGAGTCAAGTGGGAAATGCAGGAGCAGGCAATGTATGACCCATTCAGTCCTTTCATTCAGCCCACTGAGGAGTTACATTTCCAAGTCTTGCATTTGTAGGGGTACAATCTGAATTGATTGCCAGCTATTTGAATGTCTCACACAGATGAACAACCATTCACACTCACAATCACACCTAGGGACCATTTAGAGTGTCCCATTGACCTGCCACGCATGTTTTTAGAATCTGGGAGGAAACCGGAGTACCCGGCGAAAAGCCACGCAGGCACAGGGAGAACACGCAAAGTCCACACAGGAAGGCTGGAGCGGAATCGAACCCTGCACCTCTGCACTGTGAGGCCGGCGTGCTAACCAGTCGACCACCGTGCCGCCCAGAATCAAATAAATCATAAATCAAAATTATGTATCATCAATATTTCAAGTGTTTTTAAGATTTTACGTTCACATTTTACCTTTTTTTGTCATCTCATCTGCAAATACCCAGGCCTAACGCTCCATGTAAAGAAATGAAATGTGGCCCTTGGGCACAAGTTTGCCAATTCCTGGTTTAACATCACATTCTTACATTCGGGTAAATGCCCAACAGGGTGTCAGCCTTGGAGAAAAAATCATCCTTCAGGGAGATGACGATGACCTGCATTTTCTTTCTGGATTCCTCCCGCAGGAAGTTAGTCACCTGGAAGCACAAAATGGACGTCACATGATTTTACGAGTGGCTTTTGGCTGCTACACCCAATCATATAAAGTGACGCCTTGACTTGGGAGTACAATTGGTCCCATGAAATACTTGGTGTGCAGAGTGAATTGCGTTTAAGCTGTGTGGCAGAAAGCACAGGTGAGCATTCAGCGTGGATGTCAGGAAGCATACTTTACTGGAGCTTTGGAAAGTTTCAAGTTCATTTGGAATTCCAGTGATTGCTTCCAGATTGAAGTAGAAAATCAGAGCGATGGATTGTGCACTCAGGATTCCTCTCGATGTGTCTATATAGTGGCTTGGGTGTCTATATAGTGGCTTGTGACTCTGGCAACCAGTCCAGGGTGTACTCGCCCCTCACCTAAAGATAGGCTACAGCTCACTAGTGACTCTATTGAGGATACGCGCGCGAGAAAACGAAAGGATGGAAACATCCCTACTTGTGATATGTTCAGTGCAATTATGTCATCTTCCAAACAATTAGCTCGCTGAATGTCAGGAATCTTACCTTCCCGATGTTGGAGTTGTCAAGGGCAGCGTCCACCTCGTCCAAAATCAAAAAGGGAGCTGGACAGTAACTAAGGAGAGAGAAGTAAACTGTTGACCTAAAGAGCGCAGGTGATTTTAAAAGACAGATGGGCCAGGTCAAGTAAAAATGTGCATGTGAAAAATAAAATTTATCATTATTTATCATTTTAAATGAGTTTTTTATAATGACTATTTTTAACTGAATTAGTTAAGAATTTAATCAAATAAATACATGTAAAAATAATTTATTACCGTTTTTTTTAACAATAAATCAATAAACCGATTTTAATTAAATAAATGAATAAAAAGCATTAACAATGAATACATGCATTATAATTTACCTGAAAAAACCCCCACATGAAATAAATGCAACAATTTAATTATGTACATCATGGGTGGCCATGCGTGTGTATGCGCGTGCATGCATGGTCGATCGCGACGGTTCGTTGGCTTGAAAAGTAGCTCTTCAGTCAAAAAAGGTTGGGCACCAATGATGTAAATGCTGTCTGCCAGATTTTAAAAAAATGTAGCAGACCATATGAGGTACTTTGCCCACCTCTGTTAACTTCGTAAACCCTGTATCTGGCTTTGACTGCACTTTCCAGTTTTTTTTTTTGTCAATGATACTACCTGTAGATAGCAAACACCAAAGCCAGAGAGGCGATGGCCTTCTCCCCGCCTGATAGATTTTCCATGGACATGAAGCGCTTCCCGGGAGCCACGCAGCTGTAGTTAATGCCACCGAGATATGGCTCTTCCGGATTGTCGGCAGACAGAGTGGCCTGAAGCACATTTCATATCTTATGATGTCATCATCTGACAGCGTCTCTCGCCTTGGAGTTGCGAAGCGGTCTTCTCACCTGGGCGCTCTTGTTGCAGCATATTCTCTTGTAGATGCCGTCAATGACGGCGGACACGTGATCGAAGCACTGGCTGAAGAGACGGAAGCGCTTCGCTTTGACTTCTTCAAACTCTTGTTGGCACTTCCTGGTGGCAATCGTGCTGGCTCTGAAGGCTGAATCGGAGGCAGAAAATGCTGATTTACCATTGATGCTATTCATTGTTAAAGTATGTTGTAAATAAGTATGTTGGTAAGTTTTGGTAAGGTGTATGGTTAGCACATCGCCTCGGAGTTTGTAACTACAAAAGCCGCAACTCGCCGTGGTTTGACAGGTCATTACTGTTTTAAGATCGGAGCGGACGGAGTGAGTGAGTGAAATAAAGACACTCAAACGCAGCCGCTGCTGCAGAGCAGACATGCGCAAAATCAAATTCCGTAGTGAGATACAGCCATGCGTCGTCAAGTCATTGAATACAGAATAAATGGTACACGTGTTACAGAACAAAACCTTAACATTTATTTTTAAAAAATCCCCAAAGTACCATCTGTCACGTCTTGTAGCTTGTCCTTCACCTCCCTCAACTTTTCCTCAGCTTTCAAGTTGGGCGTGGCTGTGCGTTTTAGCTGTTCCTCTGCGGCGTGAAGAGACTCCTTCAGCCCCTCGAGATAGTTGTCGTACTCCTCTGCAGGCACATTCTGCAAACACACACATACACAATGTTAACACAGCATGCCGGTGTTAATACTAAATTCATTGATGAAAGAGTAATGTGTCACCCTGTTCTCAGCTTCCAGGCAAGAGTAGTCGATAACAAGCTGGGCCTCCCTCTCAAAGATGTGCATTGTGGTCGAAGGACTTTGAGACCCTTCATCCAGCTGGAGAGAACCAAACACATTCACTTAATTTGTACTTCGGTGCGCAAAAAGGGTATTGTGTCATAATGAGGGTATTATATATACATATCTGTCCACACACAATATAATCAGCTCCATTGACACTTGCACACATAATTAATTGGATTAGATGGTGGAAGTACAGATGTCTTTTTACCTCCATTTGGCTGATGTCATTCAGGTCACCTGACAGCAAATTGATTGGCAGGCCCTCGATCTTGCAGGCCAGTAGCAAGTTGTGTCGGACTAAACGTTTCTGTTCCAGGATGCTCTCGGCACTCATCACCTCCCGCTGAAGTTTCACCAACTCTCTGAGAGAAAACAACGTTTCGTCGTGTAAATCGATTTCACGCAGCATACACTTCATACGTCAGAAAAGGAGCAGCAATGGAGGCATTTGTTCTTCTTCATCAGTGATTTGTCTTACCTGTTAATCTCTTTGAGCAGAAGGATTTTCTCATCCAGCTCCTTTTTGGCAGACGCTACCTGCCTCTTGTTTGCCAGCAGCTGGTTCTTCATCTCCTGCAGTTTGTTGTCATTTTTTTCAACGGCCACCAGCAGCTTTTCCTCCTCCTAAAAGGTGAGCCAGAATACGAGGCTGAAAACATCTCCATCGACAATACAAAAGCAAACTAACGCATTTATTTTTTTACCAGGCCCTGGTTACTATTAAAATATTCCCAATGGCAACCCTGCCCCTGTCTGCAAGCTACTCATTCTAAGGTAATGTTGTGAGATTAGTTTGAAATGAGATTAAACTCAGTTTGTGGTATACTGTATTTGCAGTTTCAACTATTAAAATAGGCAGGTATAAACCTTTTGTGATTATACTGCTCATAATCACAGAAAAGTCTCAAAGTCGCAAATATTAACGACAGCGCATCCGTGCTAACCTTTCTCTTCTTGGCCATGTTGCTTTCTTCCTGGTCGATGGAGGACTGCATTTCACTGAGCTTCATCTTCTGCTTCTCTAGTTGACTTTGTTCATACTCCAGCTTGGCTTTCAAACGATTGCACTGGCTCTCAAACTGCAAACTGAAAGTATTTACAGTACATAGCAAATTCCCACTGAGGTAATTTAACAAAAAAAAAAAAAAAAAAAAAAAAAAAAAAAAGCCCGGAGAAGGGAGAAAAAAAAAA